CGCGAACCGGTGGCCCGCGGAGCCGCCCTCTGCGCAGGCGCATGCTCAGTGCGGGGCTAACGTTGCCGAAGCGCGCTCCGCCTCGAGCTGTGCGGGGCCCCTGGGGTTGCTAGGACGCCACGCGTGAAACCGTGCAAGAGGCCAGGTCCCTGCTCACGCGCGCTTACATGCTAGGGGGACCTGACAGGCATTTAACCCAGGAGCGAACGAAGAGGAAAATCCCATGGTATTATTAGTGCTGTAAGGAAAACACGAATGCATAGAACGGGGCCAGGTGGAAACTATCTTCCCTAACGGGGTAGGGGAGGGCATCTCAGGGACTAGCAATGGAGCTGAGACCTGAGAATATGTAGGCAGGCAGAGGGATGGCAGGAGTAAAGGCCCGGAGGCTGGAAGCTAACTGGCCCCGTGTGCTTTAGGGACACAATAAATAAATGCACCGAGAAGTTGATAAGATCTTCCGCTGAGGGAAACCAGCTTATCTTCAGCCTCGTCTGACCTAATGTCCCACTTACTACTCGGGAAATGTTGAACTGCTTGTTGCTACCTGCACACAGTAAGCTGTTCCGCCTGCTCCCTAACCTTTGGGTATGCTCTCCTCTCCTGGAATTTTTTCCCCAAACACTTTTTCTTTTGCTTTATCCTGACTCAACCTATAATCAACTCAAATACTGGTATCTCCTCTGAAACCCTTTCCTGAATACTCCTCCCCTCTTCCATTATGCCCCTCCTCTGCTCCTCTTCCTCCTGAGGTTTATCCCTAGCACTTTAGCACTTAGTACTCCAGTACTCCGATTGCCTGCTTACAGTTTTGTTTTGTTTTTCAAAGACTTTGAATTCTTTAAAGGTTGGAAGTAAGTCTTTGTCTCCCCAAGACCTAATAGGACCTGGCACCCAACATGCACTTACGATGTTTGTTGACAAAGACCTGGTCTCCGCCCTCAGGAATCTAGTTATAATTATTTGTTTAAATTCTTAACCCACACCAGACTGTGAACTTTCTGAGGGTTAGGTGGCTGTTCCAGCTGAATCCTCAGCCCAGCTGAGGCCCATAAAGGAGGAAAGAATGAACACTTAATGTGGTGGGGGAACCAGATGAGACACACACAGCTGGCCATCTACTCAACATAACCATTTTTGCTTCCGGAGTCTAAATTTTGCCAGAGATTCTCCTGGCCTAGGAAATGATTCAAGATTTCTCTAAACTGTTAACCAAAGATCATCACTGCCAATTTAACACCAACAGAAGTCCCCAATTTGAGGGGTGGCAAAGGGGGAGGGGGGACCCACGGGACATCTTCAGTGAAAACTGCTCAGTTGTGAAACATCTCAATGGTGAGGTGGGCTGGGCATGAGGCAGCTCTGGTGCTATGGCTCTGGCCAAGTAAATGCAGCACTCACGAGAAACCAAAAGCCATCCTCAGACTGGAAGCTGGATTTATATAGAGAAGAATGGCCACCCTCAGCCACTGATTGGCCCATTTCTATGCAGATAAAGACTCCAAATCCTCACTGTATGGTTGGTCCCAATAGCACCATCCTAACTGGTCAGAATGGAGCTACTCTGATTACTCAATAAAGATACAAATGAGTACAGAGCTGTGCAGCTCCTATTGGTAGAAATTCGATCCAGGAATTCCTTTATAAGGGTCAGCTCAGCTAGTCAGAACACAGTACAGTAGGCAGGCAGTTCATGCTTTCCCTGAAGCATGGCATGAGAGACCCCTTTTAGCATGAGCTGCTAGGCTCTATAAATTTGAGCCCAATTAGCCACCAGGAGCCCTTCTTAACAGGCACAGAGTTAACATTACCAACAACAATAATCTCATTCTCTTTTACCAGTGATTGAGAATGTGATCTGACCTGACCAATGAGGTAAGAGGATGTCTGCTGGGTGCTCATGGGACAGTTTTGTATTTTTTCTTGAAGAGAGAGACAGGACTTCGAGATAGCCTTTTTGCTCTTTTTCTGCTTTGGGTAGTGTTGATGTGGTTGCCATTTTGGGGTTTTTTGTGTGTGTGCTTTTTAACTCCTTGTGGGAGTTTTTATTTATTTATTTTTGTTGTTAATCCTCACTCGAGGATATTTTTTCCATTGATTTTTAGAGAGAGTGGAAGGGAGGGGAAGAGACGTAGAGAGAAA